GATGACGACTAATACTCACTTTGTGGGGTAGTCCCCAGCAAACTGTACAATACACAGCCTCACTTTCTCCAGCCTATGAATTGGGGTATCTGTTCCTAGCTGGCAGAATCAGACCTGATGCTTGGAGATTTCCACTTAAGAGGAACACACACTACCAGCTTCGTCGTGAAGACCTAGGTGGGCAAGCTGACGGTGGTCAGCCTCCAGCAAACACGTTTAGTTGCATGTAAATTGTCTAGGTGCCCTTTCCTATTTATAGCGGAAACTCACTTTCTCCCCTTTGAAAAATTCTTCCCTGTATGGCAATTTTTCTTTCATGCTATATTCTCCTTTTGGTACCTTGTCCAATATTCCTTCCCCTCCGCCCATCTATTGTTCAACTGAGCTGTGAAAGAAGTTGAAATCCTCCTCTAAACCCAGGGTGCCACATCCCTTCATTCATTCACTCACTGATTCACTCAACATTCATTCACTGAGGATTACTCTGTAAATGGCCACGTACTGGGTGCTGGGGACAAAAAGGTGAAGGCCACTGCTGTTTATGTGGCTACACTGTTCTGGCCCCTTTCTGTCCCTGCCCTTCAAAGTCCTCAATTCTTTCTGACCTGGAAAAACCTCGCGAAATAACAGCAAATATCGGTGAGATAATTTCCCTTCCAGACTTTCACCAGCTCAGTTGTTCTAATCTTTTTAGGAGGCAAAGGAATCGAGAGAGGGAAGCAACCAGCCATGATTATTTCCCATTTTAGATGGGAAAGTTGAGTTCCAGAGAGGGGAGGGAAGGCAAGAGAAGGGAAAGGAACTAAATTATTTAATACAGTCAGGCCTTGTGCCGTTTCATTCTCATACATGCCTTGTGAGGTGGGTATTTTTATCATCATTTTATATGCGCAGAAACTAACAGGTTAAGGAGCTCATTCAAGTCACCCAATCTGTAGGTGGCAGAGCTGGGCTTTTAAACATAGATGTGATCTTGGAACTATGCATAGCCTGCATAGCCTGCTGACTCAGCAACTACACTGCAGGTCAGTAGTGGATTTTGGGAAACTCCAGCTTTCCCAGTCCTCTGCCTGGTCTTCCAGGCAACAGTTTTACAATTTAGACATGCATCAGAATCACCTGGAAGGCCTGTGAAAACACTTTAACGCTGAGCCCTACCCACCAGTTTCTGATTCAGTAGGTCTAGGAGGGGGCTGAGAATTTGCATTTTTAACTAGTTCCCAAATGATATGATGCGGGCCCAGGGAGCACAGTTTGAGAACACAGTTGTAGGTGTTCTTTCAAAAAATAATGACTCCCTCTCCTTCCCCCTAACGATTGCAAAAGTAACATAGGTTTGTAAAAGACAATAACTATATACAATGTGTAACCTACATTGTATATAGTTATTGTCTTTTACAAACCTATGTAGGCTTGTAAAGGAAGACTGGAGTTCATCCACATCTTCCGCTCAGAAATAACTGCTCTCAACAGTTTGGCAGACTTCCTTTATCTTCTTTTCAGAATCTAAGCACAGAGTTAGCGGGGTGGCCCAGGACTAAGACCCGGTTAAGATCCCAAGTGAGAGCTTGCACAAGCCTGAACCAATGGCATTTGCACTCCCATCCCTCATGCGTTTGTTGGGAGGGCTGAAGGAGACCATGTGTTTATCAAGCACTCGACACCACCTCAGATGCGGAGTCAGCGCTCCGTAAACGCTGGCTGTCACTTTTGTTCTAACAGAAGAGAAAGCTGGACGAGCCCATTTGGGTGTCAGCCCTGCTGCCCCTCTTGCCTCCTCCAGGAGTTCAGTGGGAGCTCCTGCCGACAGCCCGGCTGCCGCCACTCGCTGCGGGGACCGCGCGGCCTGACCCTGGCCTGAGCGCGGGCGTCGGTCCGCTCCCGGCAGCCGGTGGAGCCGCAGGGGCCCCGCGCAGCCCGGGCCGCCGCCGTTAGGGTTGGCTCTCGGCCCCCTTGGCCCAGTCCGCCAGTTTTACGGCCCGAACTCAATGAGGCCTTGTAACTTTTCATTCAGCAGCAGCGTAGCTCCCACTTTTAATAACACACTTAGTGCACGACAAAAATTTGCTCCTGGCAATCATGGTTTCGACCACAAAACCGCAGCGGGGAGGCGTTCCTGGTTAACTCTTTCAGCGCTCCAGGCAGTCTGGAGCCGGCGCTCCCGGAGATCAGATAGACCGGCGGCGGCGGCGGCCGCGGTCGGGACTGCGACGGGTCTCCTCCCCGCCCCCCAGCCCAGCCGCGTCTCCCAGAGGCCGGGGGGAGGCTCCAGGCGGCGGCGGCGGGGCCCAGAGCCCACGGAGCCAGGCCGCGCGGGGCGCTCCTGCCTCGGCGCCTTAGACCTACTAGGTGCCAAGCCCCTTCGTGGAGAAACCCTCCTTTCCTGAGCCGTCCACAGAGCCTGCCTGGAGGGTCCGGGAACGGCCGGCGATCCGGGGCGGGGGGAACAAGAGGTCACCGGCGAGGTCGCCAGCGGCTCCAAATCCCCAGGGCCCCGGCGACACCTTCAGGAAAACCCGACGGCTGGCAGCTCGCGCGCGCCGGCCGTTTTCCCGCGAGACCCGGCGGTCGACAGCGACTTCCGGCGCCCCGGGCCGCTGCCCAGCATCCCTTGCGCCCTGCAGTAGCCCGGGGCGGTCCGGGGCTGCGGGCTCCAGGCACCCAGATCGCTGCGACCACATGAAAGGCCTGGCGCTCGGCACCCGCCAGCCACCTCCAGCTGGTTTCTAACTACACCGCCCGGGCCTCCGTGCTTCTCAGGGACCAGCCTTCGAAGTGCCGCCTGACACCCGGGGCCTGGCCGCTGGGCTGGCGCGGATGGAGCTCCTGTTCCACATTTGGGAGCTCACAGTTGTTCCTGCCAGGTGGGTGTTACACACAGATCAGCAGACTGAGGGTCAGGGAGAACAAACAAATTCGCCAGGATCCTGCTGTTGGTAAGTGGCAGAATTTAGAGTCACAGACAAGTCCCACTTTTCCCACTATATCAAAGCCTGACCAGAGTTGGCCATTCCATGAGGCCCCAAGCTGTAAGTGATGGCCAGTCCTCTTAACTTGACACTTTCTGGAGGGTCCTCTTAACTGCAGGGTCCGGGGACGGCTGGCGCTCAGGGAGTGAGGGCGGGAGTGGGAACAGGAGGTCACCACAGCGGCCACTGCAGCTCAGAACTTGCAAGCCAAGCACTGGGTATCCTCCCCTTGTCAGTAGGGGCAGCTGAGCCCCCAGGCTCTGCCATTATAATCTCAAATGGTGGCTTGGAGTCTGCCTGCAATTACTCAGCAGGCAACTGGCTTCCCTCACCCCACCCCAAACTGAGAAGCCTCAACTGTCAGCGGATCTGACTTCAAATCCAAATCATTAGCGAGGAGAAAAGCAGGAAACCTTTCTGTTCAAGTAACCGAGCTGCAGAACGCGTACCCCCTAACGTGCGGCAATGGATAGATTTTGTCTGCAGTCTCCGCAGTTTTAGCCAGCAAATTTAAATGGGATGGAGACACAGCTGAAGATTTTTTTTGTGTGTGTTCAAAGTATGGAAAAATAGCAAGAGGTTCGGGAATGCTCATGGACTGGTTATTTCTCCACCAGCCTTAAAAGCAATCACTATTCTAAAATTGTCAAATCCCCTAACAACCCCATGAGGTGGATACTACAGTTGGCTTGGCCACAGGTGAGGATTAAGTGACTTGCTCAACATCACGCAGCTGTAAGTGCTGGACCTGGGACTCGAACCCAGGTGTCAGCTCCGATGCTCCTACTTTCATTCTCGTTGTGGTCAAATTGTCAATACATCATCAACCCTGGGAAATTCATTCAAAAGAAATGTGCCTGTTAACCCTAGTGATTGTACTGTGAACATGATTGGCCAGCCCAGAAGAACTGAAGGGCTAGCTAAGAACATAAAATCCTGCCTGCAATCAGGACCCACCACTGCCCTGCCCACAGATCTTCAACTTGTTAAAACAATCTATTGAGGAGTAGCTAGAAAAAAGATGGTACAATCCTTGCGTCTGCCCACTCACCTCTGAGGGTGGCAGGAAAAAAAGAGCCTGTGTTTAAAGAGTTCTGGCTTCTGCCAGCTCCCTGAACTCAGCCTAAAGCAGCCCAGAGTCTAGCCTTGTCCTACGTATTCTAAGGTCTGGACCCCAAACAGGACCCCATGGCGAAGATCAGCATCAGTCATTCGGGATCTTAAATCTCAGATGTAGGCAGGAAGGCACATGCATCCTGCCAGCCAACAGAGGTGACCTACCAAAAACCACTTCTCAGCTTCCCCAACCTTAGAACTGTCTCTGAATCAGATGAACCACATTTTATTGAAAACATCTTCGGACTGCAGCTTTATGCTCAGCGTTTTACAGCATTTATCACACTTAACTCTTTCAAGAATTCTACAAAGCATTCTTGTACCCATTTTCCAGATGAGGAAAATGAAGCCAGGAAAAATTGACCGTCTTGTCTGAGATCACTCAGGGACAGGGCCTGGATGTGAACTTAGTTCAAGCCCACTGCAAAGAGTGCACATGCTTAGCCACCACACGGTAACCTTCCCACTTGGGACTGTTCCAGCAAACAAGTCCTTTTAGAGAAACCCAACGCTCTGCCTAAGACAGCTCTTAGAACTACCTCAAAGAAGTTCCTTTTGGCAAGAAGATAGAAAGCCTCTATGGGATTGGGGGTGTTGTCTGATTTCCAAGGCCCCTTCAGAGTATCAAAAAGTGGTGCCAGAAACCTTCGCAGTTTCAGTCTTGTGTTTCCCTGCCTGGCTCGAAACTGCTCAGCAAAGAGAATGAGAAAAACTGTTTTCCCAGGGAAACGCTCACCTCCAGCTTGAGACTGGGGCTTGCCTTGACACGCCAAAGAAAGATCGTCAGCCCATTCATTTACCCTTACAAATTGCTCTGTGAATCCCGGTGCCGGCCTCCCCGATCTTCCCCCTCCAGGAAACCCCATCCAGCCTCCACCCTCCGAGAGCGGCAGGCATTCACCGATGTTTACTCACTCAAGTTCATTCGACATCTTCCTGCTCCCAGGCTCCGACGATCAGCGCTGAGGCTCTGCTGACCGCTTGTCTCTAATTCTTGCCTGACACAGACATTCCCTGCCCAGGGAAGTGTTTGATTTATGTTGAGGTTTGAGTGTCGAGATTTTGCTGACAGGTAGGTTCCCAGCAGTGCTGGCGCTGATTGGCTGCAGGTACAGGTGCCGGCGACTGCAGGGATACCTCAACAGGTGCAGCTGTTAACTCTTAGCCCGCCGAGTAGGGCGGAGCCAAGGGGGACTGGCTGGGTGGAGCTGGCCAATTCCTTCCTTGGTGAGGAGGTGAGGGGTGGAGATGAGGGAGGAGGGAAGGAGAAAAATGTTGTGAAGAAGCAAAATAACTAGAGGAAAAGTACAGGGACAAACAGGTAACTTGGCTTAAAGGAAAACTTGATTCCTGTTTCTAGTCAATATCCCAGATATCCAGAAACATCCCGCCACACCCCAGATTTCTTTACCCCCTCCTTCTGTACCACCAGGGAATTCTCAAAGGAGAGAGCAGTTGTTCTCAGGTAGGTCTTTGTATAAGTTCCCTTTTTTTTTTTTTTTTTTCAGTTTCCCCTTTAAGATAATATCTTATTTATGAATAATCTTTTACAGTTACTCAAGTGACTTCTTTTGGTTCTTACAGTAACCCACTGTGGTAGATTTATGATCACTTTTTCCTTCCTCTTCAACACACATTTTACAGATGAGGGAGAAAATGGAGGCCAGAGAGGTAAAGTGCCTTGCCCAAGGGCACGGCTAGGGTGGTCCCAGCCCAGATCCAATCTGCAGTAGTGGCCTCAATGTAGACATTCATTGAGCACCTGTTGTGTGCCAGACCCTACTCTGGGTTCTGGAGAAACTGAGGCCATATAAACAGGGTCCCAGTTCTAGAGGAGTTTACAATCTGTGGGGTGTGTGTTGGTGACAGGGCAGAGAAGTAAAGGAGAACAGCCTTGTGTTGGGTGTGAAGGGGGTGTGGGCAAGCCACATACCTCTGATCAGCACAGAAGGGATAGAAAAGTTGAAGCCTGCCACCTCTGAAGCCTCCACCAGCTGGTCATTTCACAGGCTCCAAGTGCTTCATTCTGTATTGGGAACTTTGGAGAAATTCAATGCCTGTTAGATGAGGTAATTGTGGAGTAATTGCTGTGAGCTGTCTTCTATAAAGAACAAGCTTGGTAAACCCCAGAATATCCACAAACACAAACAGGAGAATGTTAGAGCTTTTTAAAGAGCTTCTTCCAGGATTAGTTTGAAATTAAATCTAAGCCAGAGATCTTGGCATCTTTTTTTTGCCCTCTCTCATTCTAGTCTCCCCTCCCCCACCCTTCCCTTTTTGGCAGATTATCTTTTTGCTCTATCTTCCTGGGAACCGCAACTTGGCCCACTCCTCTCTCTCTCTCCCCTCTGGGAACAGCAAAGGAGGTTTCAGCTATTCCTGCCAATTATGGAGGTTTTTCAGGGTAAAGTTAGAATTCAAAGGAACCCTCTTGAAGTGAGAGCAGGTCTCTGGAGAGGGGGTACCGGGTTGAAGAAGTGTCAGGGGTTGGCTTCTCCCTGGAGGCTATGTTGGGGGAAGTCCAGGGGACTCTGATAAATAATAGTAAATAATAGTTGCTAATAAAGCCACCTCCTCAGAGCAGCCCTCTTCAGTCACCCTCGTTCATAAAGTAGACATTCAGTCATTCTGGATCACACTACTTACTGTTCTCTGCAGAACCCTTAGGACTTATGATATAATGTAATGTGACTTATGGTATTTTTCTAATTGTTTATTGTCTTTTTCCCCTTCCTCTGGTACGTAAACTCCATAAGGGCAAAGACTGTGTCACTCACTGTGGAATCTCCAGTGTCTAGCACCTAGTAGGTGCTTTGTATACCACAGGCACCAGGCATTGTCTTTGCATGCGTTGTCTTGTCTAATCCTTAAAACAACCCTGGGAGATAGGCACTTTCGATATCCCCATTTTATAGATGAGGAAACTGAGGTACAGAATACTGAAGTAAACTACTTAAGCTGCAGGGCTAAGCAGTGGTAGAGCTAGAGCTGGAATTTAATCCGAGAGCAGAGCCTGGGTACCCAACCACTTTACAGAGGTTATTGGTGGCAGAAGGGCTATTTGGTGCCAACTATAACTGCAAAGCTTATTGCAGTCCAAACGATGGCACACTCCTCTGTATGTACCTGTTTGCCCACGTCATGGAAGACTGTGGAGTTTCTGTCAACTGTGTTGCAACCCACAGGTGAAGGACTGTGGGTGACTCATGCTGGCTGGGCTCAGGGAAGGCTGGGATTCCAGGTGGCATGTCTGTGCTCGCTGGGCTTTTTAAAATGGGTCCTCTCCCTCTGCCTCTAGGTCTTGCGGCTTTCATCACCCGCGCCCATCTTCAGAGATCAGCAGAGACCCAAATCACAGGGCAGAGGGTTTCTGTGTCTTCACACACAGGAAAGCTACAGAAGTGCCCTGCATGGGATAAAAGGACTGGTGGTCTGGGTTAGGTAGGCAGGGACGCCATGAGCCAGTTTGCAAGATCACCAGACCCCTCCAATAGGAGTTATACCTCCCAGGCAGGAGGTACAAGTGCTATTCCAGGCCTTCATCCCAACAACCCAGAGATGCCAGGCCTATAAAGAGACACTCCCCCACGCTTTGCTGCTGCCCCCTTCCTGCTCCTGTGTGGCATGAGCATGGCCCGAGGCTAGGCAAGGCTGGCACCTATTTCCCCTTCATGGATCAGCACAGTTCTTGGTTTCTCTGCTGAGGAGATTTAAACCAGAACAGCTATTCCAAAAAAAAAAAAAAAAAACCAGAGTTTAAAAAAACATAAATAGAGACCAGCTAATTAAATGTAACATAATAATTATATTCACAATAACGACAGTAAATAATGACGGCTGCTGTTTAGTGTTTGTATTTTGTAAGCACTGTGCCCAGACTTACCTATGTGATATGATAGTATTGCTCTGAGACTCACAGGCCTCATTTCAAATCTCAGCCCAACCACTTGCTAGCTACATGATATTGGGCAAGTACAGCTCTTTGAGCCTCACTCTCCTTACCTGTAAAATGGATGTAAAAATTGTATTCCCCCCTTATAGGGTTATTGTGAGGATTAAATGAGATAATGCTTGTGAAGGGCATTATCTGTAACTGGCATATAGCACTCAATACTTGCTAGAAAAGCCTTTTTTTTCCCCGTTATTCTCATTTAAATCTAATGAGGAAGGTACTAACCTTATTTCACAAGTGAAGAAACAGAGACTCAGGGGTTAAATTATTTGTTGAAAGTCAACAGTTAGCTGGGTACAGTGGCTCATGCCAATAATCCCAGCACTTCGGGAGGCTAAGGCAGGCAGATCACTTGAGATCAGGAGTTTGAGACCAGCCTGGCCAACATAATGAAACCCCATCTCTACTAAAAGAAGAAGAAAAAAAAATTAGCTGGGCATGGTGGCACACATCTGTAATTCCAGCTACTCAGGAGGCTGAGGCAGGAGGATTACTTGAACCTGTGAGGTATGGGTTGCAGTGAGCCAAGATTGCACTCAACCTGGGCAAACAGGGTGAGACACTTGTTAAAAAAAAAAAAAAAAAAAAAAAAGAAAAGAAAATGAATACCAGTAAGTGGGGATCATTGAGGGAGAAGAAAAAAAAAAAAGCCAAAATTAATAAGTTAAAGAATTGAGATTTGAATCCATATCTTTCTGATTCCATTCTTACAGATCTGGACTAAGGGAGTGCCCTGGGCTCAAGTTCTGCCTGACCTCTGGCCACTTACTGTGTGACTGAGTAAATTCTCTCCGAGCCTCAGTAAATTTCCCTCTCTATAAGAGTAGACTGGTGAATCACTGTAAGGGTGGAGTTCCCCATCAAAATCATCTTGATTTGCTTTTCTAGATTACTGATGTTCTCTCTCCGATGCTGCGATCTGCCCCCGTGGAGGATGCACAGTCCTTCCTCCCTCCCTCCTTCCTCCCTCCCTCCTTCCATGATGATGCCATACAGAAGCCACTGTTCCCAAAGACTGTGCTGCTTCTCCTTGGCATGCTGGGGAGAACTGAGGGACCACTGTGAGTGAGCACTGCGAGCCGGGGCTCCTCTGTGTGTCTCTGAAAGTTGTGTGCTGAACAACTATGTGCCGTTTACCAGACAGGACACGCACTGCTGGACATGAGGACCCTGCTGACAGCCATCCTTTTCTAACACTTGAATGCTTTTTCGTTATCCAAAATGCTTAATGAAAATCTGCTGACCTATCTTCAAATATTGAAAGAACACATACCCACATATCAACAGTGCTTCTCTGTGGGCACTGAAATAACAGGATTTAAATGTTTTCCCTGCCTTCCCTCTAAATGGGCTACATTGAACTTGCATTGCTCTTGTAATTAGAAATTCTATACAAAGGCCCAGTTTAAATGTCATTAAACCAAAATAAGTTCCCATTGACAAATGGTCATTGTGTTCCCATCTTTCCTGGGGCAAGAGCAGGGATGAAGAGAGTGAAGACTGAGTCCTTGCTCAGTGATCCCCTAGGAGGCACCGGAATGGAGGTGGGGGCTGCCTGGCTTGCGGGCTGCTCAGCCATCTGATTTGATTTTGATTTTGCAACTAAAATTACTGTCATTTATCGAGCACTTAATGCTGCGATGCTTGCTTTAGATGCTCTACCCCATTCCTCCCTGTAAAATGGGGTCACATGGTTGGCCAGTTATTAACGCTCTGAGGTTGACTGCCTGAGACCTTGGATAAGCAATTCCACTTCTTTTTACCTCAGTTTGTCCTCAGTGAAATGACTGCTATGAGGATTAAATAAGATAACAGTGTCCTTAGTATGTGTCAGGCACTGTTCTAGTGTTTTACATACATACCATGTAATTCAAGAGGCCTATGAAGTAGCTGCTCTGAGTATCCCTGTTTTACAAAAGACATAAAAGTCCCAGAGGGTGATATAACATCTAAGGTCACCTGGCTGTCCCCTTAGTGACAGAGATGAAATCAAACTGAAGTTGGCCTGATCCCAAAGTTGTGGAAACAGTCCTTTCAAGCTTCCTAGTCTCTTTTTGGAACAAGATCTAGGATGTATAGATAGAAGGGAGATGGGAGGCAGGGAAGGAAGAATAGTAGATAGGTTGGTTGATGGTATCTGTAAGGTAGATAGGATTTGTAAGCTTCTGGAGGGCAGAAACCATACAAGGGAAAGTAAGTCTCATATAGTACTTTTTACTTGTCC